CTAGAGTGAGGTCTATAAGCCTGGGGGACAGCCAGGAGCTGCCAGGAACCTCTGGAAGCTGGAGAGGCAAGAAGAGATTCTCCCCCTGGAGACTTCGTAGGGGATGTGACCCTGCTGATGGCTTGATGTTGGACTTCTGGCCTCTGGAGCCCTGGGAGAATAAATCCCTGTTGTTTCAAGCTGCCCCTTTGTGGTGCTAATACAGAGAAGTGTCCAGAACTGCCCGCACTGCTTAGCCCTCAGCCACAGAGATGCCCACCGGTCGCCTCCCAGGACTACACTGCAAGGCACGAAGCCAGGGCTGACTCCTCTGGCAGGCAGCCTTTCTGCTCAGAGTCTTGGAAAGTAAAGTAACTCCCCGACCAGTCGTCCTTCCCCCAGAGCCGGCCAGGCTCCGCAGCGAGTAGCGTTATTAGGTCCCAAGCAGCCATTCAGTGGGGCCCAGAACCTGGAGGCTACCCGCCCTCGCTTGCTTATGTCCAGGACTGTGCTACCCAACATTGCACCCACCCACCCCCCATTTAAAAACAACAAGTAAAAAAAAAAATTTTTTTTAATATTTATTTATTTTTGAGAGAGATACAGAGCACAAATAGAGGAGGGGCAGAGAGAAAGGGAGACACAGAATCCAAAGCAGGCTCCAGGCTCTGAGCTGTCAGCACAGAGCCAACGCAGGTGCTCAAACTCCCGAACCGTAAAATCATGACCTAAGCCGGAACCAAGAGTCAGATGCTTAACCGACTGAGCCACCCAGGCGCCCCTAAAAGTAACAGTTTTTTGTGTGAATTACTTATTTTATGAATAGGCCCCTCCCATCTTGTTTTAATGTTTTATTTGATCAAATACACAAGGAAGTCATATTTCATAGCTTGGATAATCCCCCTGCCCTCCCCACCCTCTCCCCCACCCCCAGAGTATGTTTCAATAGAACCAGGACACAAGACCAAAACATTCAGATGTAACAAAAGTCATGAACAGGCAAAGGCAAAATCCAGGTAGCCGACAAGTAAATGAAAACAGAGATGCAGGGGCTTCTGGGTGGCTCAGTCTGTTAAGCATCCGACTCTTGGTTTCGGCTCAGGACATGATCTCTCCTGGTTTGTGGGTTTGAGCCCCATCTTGGGCTCTGCACTGTCAGTACAGAGCCTGCTTGGGATTCATTCTCTCTCCCTCTCTGTTTGCCCTTCCCCTGTTCTGTCTCTCTCTCTCTCAAAATAAATAAACTTAAAAAAGAAAAAAAAACAGAGATGCAGATACCAATTTTATCCACCAGATTGACAGCGATCAGAAAATAGGATACCAAATAGGATATTAAATGTGGATGAAGACAGGGAACACTGGGAGTTCTCCAGCACAGCGGGCCGAACAGCACTGATGAAGTGAGGTGTCTGGTTCTGTTCCGGAGGGCTGCCTGTCACGTTGGGGCCACACACCCCAGGAGGGCACCCGCACCAGGACACCCATCATAACCCTGTTGGAGATGGCATGTTGTGGAGGGAACCCAGGCTGGATCCCTCAGAGTCCTAGCAGGAAACAGATGGCATGCCCAAATCAGGATCCTTTGAGGAGGGTTAATTTATAAAGGGACTGTTTACAAAAGTGTGGGTACAGGGAAACCCCAGAGATAATGCAGAAGCCCCAGGTTCGGAGCAGCAGAGACGATACCGAGGCCATTTGGGTTTGGCCAAGTGTTGTGTGGACAAGCAGGATCCAGCCAGCTATAGGTCTGCTGCCAGAAGGAGCCCCAGAAAGAAATGCCCTGCCCCCCTGTCCCTCTCCACTCACCCCCCTCAGCCCCTCTTGGGACTTCTCTTTGGCCACACCCAATCAGAAGCCAGAGAGCAAGGAGCCCATTGTTGGGGTCATATGAGGCATCCCGCTGGGCACAGAGCAGGAGGAGAGGGTGGAGGGGAGCCTGAAGGGAACAGAAGGAGTGTCCTTCCTTCCAGGGCAGGAGGAGAGTCCTTCTCCGTGTCCTCCCGCCCTGGAGAAAAGAGGAATCACAGCACACACTTGCCTTGGAACACAACACGGCCATCGGAAGAAGTATAGACCTACAAACAACATCATTGGGTCTTAGAATCTGGTGCTGAGTTAAAAAAAGACAACAAAGACACAAGATGGAGAGCCCACCATGTGCACACGTTTAAATGCTCATGTACACGAAGCCAAATCTTCTCAAAGATTCGCGGGACATCCGAGGCACCAACCGTGGGAGGGCCGTGGGAGCAGGGACTGGAGATCTGTGAGGGAAAGATGAAGAGCAATAAAACAAGAGAGCCTCCCAGGACTGACTGAGCGATGAGCAGGGTAGGATCGACTCAGTGCCTCGCCTGGAGGACAGCGACAGACTCCCTGAATCCTGCTCCCCAGACACCCACGTGAGCATCCCAGAGTGCTGGGGGCCCAGAACAAATGGTGGGGGTTTCAGAATCTTGGGGCTTAACAGACCGGACCCAGTGTTTCTTAGGATGGAATTCTTCAGTGTTTTTACTTCTCTGTTGGGGGGGGGTGCATTTGTGGAATCTACTCTGGGTCCCTCTTCCTAACAGAACCCAGATTCCCATTTGGCTGCCCACCTTGCCTGGTGTGGTCCATGTGCTCTGGGGAAATGAATCCACCCCAGGTCTAGAGGAGGTGTGCTAATGTTTGCAGGGACCGCCATGATGAAGTACCACAGATGGGAGGCTTAACCATCAGCCATGTATTTCTTGCAGTTCTAGAGGCTGGATGTCTGAGATCAAGGGGTTAGCAGGGCTGGTTCCCTCTGAGGCCCCTTCCTTTGGCTGTCTTCTCCCTGTATCCTCACGTGGTCATCCCTCTGTGCGTGTCTGTGTCCTGATGGCCTCTTCTTATAGGGACCCCAGTCCTGTTGGGTCAGGACCCATTCAGTGACCTCTTTTTACCTTCATTACCCCCTTTGAAGGCGCCATCTCCACAGTCACATTCTTAGATCCTGGGGGTTAGACCGTCAACATGTGAATCAAGGGGGGACGCAACTCAACCCACCACAGGCTGGCTCAGTTGGTGTCTCAGTGGACAGAAGCCCATTGGCATCTCCATTTCCCTGGCCACAGGCATTACTGTCTGGTCAGGTTGGATCTCAGGCTTAGATACGGGACAGAGAGTCCCGTCACCGTCCAGATGACAGGACGTGAAGAAGTGAGGTAGATGATGTGGAGCCATGAGGGGGAGCTGACTGAGAATAAAGCTTTTGTTGCAGAAGGCAGAGCAGAGAGATGGGAGGAAACTCTCCATGACACCTTAGAAGCACTAAATCAAACCCACGCTGACGCCTTCCTGCCTCTGGCCTTTTAGTCACATTAGCCAGGAAATATTTAACAGTGGAGCTGGTGTGAGTTTGATTTTCTAATGCAAATGCTGTTCACATCCTGGGTCTTTGCAGTTCCTGGCATGGCTCCCATGTTCTGCCTGGCTCCCTCGGTAGAGTGCTGATTCCTCTCCTTTCCTTTGGGTTTCTCCTCGGAGGCTTACCCTTTCCTGATGGGCCTTCAAGGCCTTATCTTTCAACAAAGCCACATTCAGGTTCTCTAAGTGTCCTTTGGGATTTAAACAGCAGGATGTCCCTGAGAGATGGCCACTGGGCCCTTATTACCTTGTGTAACCCAAATATGTCAGGCTGTCCACATAGACCAGTCACTGTGCAGAGTGTACTAATGTAGGTCTTTAAAACTGAATTCATCACGGGGAGCCGGGGGGTTGCACCAAACATCACGTGGAAATTTCCTTAGAATTCTCCCTAGACATCTGTTTCTCTCCCCAGGATTGCCCACCCTTGGAATCTGCTAAAATATCTCTGCAGTAGGGGCACCTGGGTGGCTCAGTCGGTTGACCGTCTGACTTAGGCTCAGGTCACGATCTCATGGCTCGTGAGTTCGAGCCCCGCATCAGGCTCTGTGCTGACAGCTCAGAGCCTGGAGCCTGCCTCGGATTCTGTGTCTCCCTCTCTCTCTGCCCCTCCCCTGCTCATTCTCTGTCTGTCTCTCTCTCTTTCTCTCTCAAAAAATAAACATTCAAAAAAAATTAGTAAAAAAAATAAAATATCTCTGCAGCTTATCCATGTGACTCTCTGTGCCGCTCATCCTTTCTTCCTCCTGGGGGGCCGAGTCCCTCCCATCCACCTGCACCCCTTCCTTTGACCTTCCTCCAATACACGCCCCTTTAGTTCTCCTTTGTCCTGAGCATGAGCCCGTCCTGGGAGATTAGTGAATCAGGATCTCTGCCACACACACACAGCCACACGCATACGAGCTCCCACTCAGGCACACACTCACCCTCATACACATACGCCCACAGACCCACATGGTCATACACAAACACACACATCATTCAAACATACAGCACCCATGCACACTCACGAGACACTGGTACACAGGCACACATTCACCCTCACACACGGACACTCACACCTGCACACACGTGCTTACACGGACTCATGCTTGCACGCACACATCTTCGCTTCCTCTCAGGGGCCTCTGGCGATGCTGTCCGACCCCACCAGGCTGACCCCTCACATTTCCTCGCAGAGAGTTGAAGAGCCTGGGGAGTCTGACATTTCCCAAGCATCAGACCTCTTGAGGGAGCTATTTCTTCTCCAGCCTCCAGGTTCTGTATCTGGTGTCAGAAGAGGGAGGCAGCCAGCCAGCCATTTCCCTTGGGGGGGGGGGGGGGGAACTATTGGCCTCCGGGTGTGTTGTTGTTGTTGTTTAATGTTTATTTTTTGAGAGAGAGAGCCAGAGTGCAAACAGGAGAGGGGCAGAAAGAGAGGGAGACACAGAATCCGAAGCAGGCTCCAGGCTGTGAGTCATCAGCACAGAGCCCGACGCGGGGCTCGGACCCACGAACCATGAGATCGTGACCTGAGCCGAAGTCAGACACTCAACCGACTGAGCCACCCAGGCGCCCCAGCTCCTGGGTGTTTCTTGCTGTCAGGCCTGAAGAAGGCATCGGGCCATCCCCGCTCCCAGATTTCTGAAAAACCCCTGAGTGGTGCGTCTGTGAAATACCAGGGCGTAGGAGGTCAGACCACTCAGAAATGCCACTCCTGACCCACCCTACCACCCTGTTCAATTGTTGGAGACCTCATACCTCCCTCCAGCCCCAGCTGCCTCTGAGGGGATTGCTGACCACCCCACCCCCTACGAGACTTGTTGGGTTGCCTCGAAGGCTTGGGCCCACCCGCGTGACTTTTGCAGGCCTGCCTGGTGCTCAGCACACATCCTCTTCACTGATCCTGGAGGCTGCTGAAAGGAGCTCTTTTCCATCCTCGACTCTGGTGAGTGCCACCGTGAGAATCGGGAGACCCTCGTTTTGTAAGGAAATCTAATGTATTCACAGCAATTCTTGCCTCCAGGAAGTTCTCATACACACCCGGCCCACCGTGCCTGGATCTCCAAATTTTGTTCAAATTTCGTTCAACTGCCCACGATGGGGCAGAGGGGAGTCCACAGTGACTCATTTTCCCCATCTGCTGAGATGGCCTTTGGCAAATGAAGCCCAGCCAGATGCTCCTGTGGGACCGAGAGACTGTCCACCTCCGAAGCGAGACCTTGGCTTCCAGGCCAGGAACACCTCCCATGTGGATCTTCAGACTCTCATCCACCAGTGCGTCTCTGCCTGCCCCCCGCCCATCCCCGTGAGGACTCAGGACGTCCCCAAGCCCTTCCTCCTGCTCTCCACATGCCATGTCCTCATGCCCCTGCTGACAGCTTACCCTGAGCTCACAGTGTGAGATCCCCCTACGGCAAACTCACCACAACCGACACATCGCAGGAGACCTTAGGGACAGAGTGAGGCTCCCATTCTCCATTGGGAAACAACTCTAAGTTCTTCACAAATGGGATACCTCTTTATTTATTTATTTTTTATTTATTTACTTTTCAGAGAGAGACAGTAAGCAAATGGGGGAGAGGGACAGAGAGAGAGAGAGAGAGGGAGAGAGCAAATCTCAAGCAGATTCCATGCTCAGTGCAGAGCTCGATGCGGAGTTCGATCCCATGACCCTGAGATCATGACCTGAGTGGAAATCAAGAGCCGACCGACCGAGCCACCCAGGCCCCCCACGAATGGGGTACCTCTTAAGGCAAGGCTGAAAATTACTTCCCAGCCCTTAACGTCACGAAGCTTTTAGACTTCCTTGGTTTAATGAATTTATATGGAAATCTGGCCCTCCAAATCTGTGCCTCCTCCTAAAAATAGTAATTCCGATCTCAGTGTGTTTTTCACAACATCGCCCCTTTGACACTAGCGGTATTCTAAGCTTCACGAATTCCTTTGGGAACATGACATTCGACGGTGAGGTGGTGTGTGTGTGCCCACCACCATGCCTGACACAAAATAAGCTCTCGGAAAATATTTTTTGGTTGAAAAAAGATGAAATAAGATATGGTGTTTGTTCTCTTGGCTCTGCAGCTACCGTGATGCAATTCTAACCACCTGGAGTGAGCACGGAGTCCACAGGGCAAGACTGCCCCCACGTCCGTCACCAGCCACAGGCTCAGGGACCCCCAGGCCACGTGCAATTCTGACCCACCGGCCACAAATCTGGAGGGGGGGTTCATGACCCCCATCAGGTTTAGGATTTTGCTAGGATAACTCACAGAGCTCAGGTAAGTGCTGTACTCCTGCTTATAGTGTTATTATAAGGGATACGGATCAGGACCAGTCAGATGAGGAGCCACGTCGGGCAAGGTGTGGGAGGGACTTGAATACTCGGCTTCCGCGCCCCCTCCGCTTGGAATCTGGGCAGGTCACCTTCTGGCACAACAGGAAGCTCTTTGCCCAGCCTTGCGTCTGGCGTGAACCAGATTCCTCTCTCATCTGGTTCAGAGATGGCCATTTTTTCACTGTGTCCTCACATGGCCAAAGGGGTGAGGGAGCTCTGTGGGGTCTCTTTTATAAGGACACCATCACGTTCACGGAGGCTCCACCCTCAAGACCCTGTCACCTCCCAAAGGCCCCACTTCCTAAAACCATCACATTGAGAATTAGGATCTCAGCATAGGAACTGGGGGGGGCCACGAACATTCGGACCATAGCAAGCTGGTATCATTGGCCCAAGGCCCCAGTCTGCTAATCACATGGATGTTCTCTCTGGCTCGGCCAGCCCCCATCCTGAGCCATTTCATTAACATAAACTCAGGTGTCATCCAAGGAGGCCATCATGAATAACACACACTCCTATCAACTCAGAAAATCCCAAGAATTTAGAAGTTCCCTCCTGGGATGAGAACAAAGACCAGTCAGATTCTTTATGATACAATAGCTCAGATGCTGAGCGATTATGTATAATAGGGGGTGCACCTGAACGCAGCACCTAGATCTCAGATCCTGAGGGTAGCTCTCTAAATGTAGTCCAAGTCCATCTCGAGGCTCCAGGTGGCATCACCTTCAAAGAAACACACCCATTGCATAAAAACTATCAAAAGATATTCTGGGGCCCCTGGGCGGCTCAGTTGTTAAGCATCTGACTTTGGCTCAGGTCATGACCTCATGGTTCGTGAGTTCAAGCCCCACATTGAGTGAGCTCGAGCGCCATTCAGGTGAACACGAGCCCTGCTTTGGGTGAACTTGACCTTTGCTTTGAGTGAGCCCCGCTTCTCTCTCTTTCTCTACCCCTCCTGGGATACTTTCTCTCTCTCTCTCTGTCCCTTGTGCCCTCTCTCTTTCTCTCTCTCAAAAAAAAAAAAGGGGTATTCTGATCTGGGGCGCCTGGGTGGCTCAGTCGGTCGAACATCTGACTCTTGATTTCAGCTCAGGTCATCATCCCAGGGTTGTGGGATCAAACCCTGTGCCCAGCTCTGCACTGAGCATGGAGCCTGCTTAGGATTCTCTCTCTCCCTCTGTCTGTCTCTCTCTCTCTCTCTCTCTCTCTCTCTCTCTCAAATTAAAAAAAGAAAGATATTCTGATCTATGCTATGGCTCTTAAAGAATATTGCACATTGGTGTTCCCTCACGTGCCCTTCCCATCTTTTGGAGTCTGGAATCCTCATCCCTGACAGCCTCCCTGGAGCTCCCGTTTCCTCCCCTGCCTCAGGAAACGAGCCGAGCTGCCAAAGACCGTGCCTCCAGTTTCATGAATGAGAAGAAGAAACTTTCCAGATGGTGATGCCAATGTAATGTTATGTGTCAATTTGACTGGCCACGGGGTGCCCGGATGAAACGTGATTTCTGGGAGTATCTGTGAGGGTGTTTCTGGGTGAGATTCGCATTTGAAGGTGTGGACTCAGGAAAGAAGATGGCCCTCTCCCGTGTGGGTGGGCCTCATCTGATCCACTGAGGGCCCGAACAGAGCGGAAGACGGAGGAAAGAGGGATTTGCTACTTTTTTCCTGACTCACTGCTTGAGCTGGAATATCACTTCTCATTTGATCTTCTATACCATCCGCTTTTCTGGGCCTCCAGCGTGTAGATGGCAGTTAGTGGGACTTCTCAGCCTCCATGTCACATGAGCCACATCCTCATTATATAAATCTCCTTTGAGATAGGTAGGTAGGTAGGTAGGTAGGTAGATAGATAGATAGATAGATAGGTAGATAGGTAGATAGATAGATAGATCCTATTGGTTCTGTTTTTCTGGAGAACTCTACCTAATAAGCAAGCCTAACTTGGGTTTAAAGAAGACATTTGGTCCTGTCTCCTCTCTCCTCTGGTTGATTACAGCAATTTATGTTTGCATAGGGATCTGGAAGTCAAGGTGAGAAGCTCATTCAGTGTGAGCTTTACAACACCCTCGGACCATCCACAGAGCGAATGCTACTCTCTTCTGCTATCATGAAGGAAAGACTTAGTGCATTGTGACCTGCCAGAAGTCACACAGCCAGCAGACCAGCCCACCCTCAGCCTGGGTCTTCTGATGCTGAGACCAGGGCGTTTCCAGAACACCACGCTGAGACTTCACAAGTAAAAATCCTGACCCAGAAACACCACAGGATCCTGTATTTATCTTTCGCTATTTACCAAAGTAGACATTCTAGAGATCTTTTTTTTTCCCCAGTGTAATTTGAAAGTTTGAACCAAAAGGGCTTCTGAGAAGCATTCAGTTGACAAGAAGCAGACAGCTCCTCCTCCTTCCCGCCCATTCGTCTGCTCCCTGAGCCCTCTGGACAATGGGAGAATTTAGTTTGAATGCCCGTTTCTAACAACTCGGTTTCCCAAGTTTCTGAGCAACCCAGGCACCCACTATTTGTCATCAAGAGGGTGACCACCGTGTCTGCCCAGCTTGGTCATGGACTGTGGCCTTCAGATGGGAGAAGATGCTTCCAGACTTTGCCTGGTCATTCTTCTCCACACCTTAACTCACCTGGAAACAGATGCAGCGAGAAGCATCTTTCTCTGCCTGGAGGTCTCCTCACAGATGTCTCCCGAAACATTTTTTCACCACACCTTTTTGCCTTCAAAAAGGGATCAACACACAGTCCCTGTCTGGGGAGCCGTGGTGCAGGGGAGTGTAGCAAGTTAAACCCAGTCTCCACCACTCACCGGGTAATCTTGGACGCGTTATTGGTCTCTCCCAGCTGTTTCTATGCCCACAAGGTAAAGGGCTTCTGTGCGACAGGGGACACGTCTGGGGGTCCTTCCCACTTGTTGATTTTCCTCAAGAAACCCTCCTGGGGGCAGACCCCACGCCCCAGCCTGCCACTGAATGACAGCACGTAGTGCCCCCAACAACCCTAGAAGTCCTCACCCCATTGGGACCCAGCCCTCCACTGAGCCGGCACCTGCCAGACCACGTCACGGGCAGCCACCACTCCCGTGTCCAGCTCAGACCAAGGCGAGCAGAGAAACTACTCCCCTTGCCCGCCTCCTCCCATGGTGACTGAGGGAGCGTGGGAATGGTTCCCCGGTTGCTCAGGTTCCCAGTAATCCTACAAGCCACACTGTTGTGCTTAACTTCCAGACAGAGGAGGAGGAATGGTGTGTGTCCTCTCATCCCCAGTTCCCACCACCCCCACCCCTGCTCCCTGCCCCGAGCCGGGGATTCCAAGCAGAAAGCAGACCCCTTCGGGCGCCCAGCTGGGATCAATTCGGCAGAGCCACACAGAATGTGAGAAGCCAATCACTTCAAAGCCAGGTTTGCACAACTGTGTCCATTCTTCCTCCAAGAAATTTCACACCTTGATACCAAGGAGCCGGTGTTTAAGAAAGAGGAATTTAAGGTTAAGTAGCATTTTCTCTTTTTTCCAAGTTTATTATTTATTTTGAAAGAGAGTGAGAGAGCATGAGCAGGGGAGGTGCAGAGGGAGGGAGGGAGGGAGGGAGAGAGAGAGCAAATCCAAAGCAGAATCCACGCTGTCAGCGCAGACCCCCCCATGTGGGGCTTGAACTCATGAACCGTGAGATCACGACCTGAGCCGAAATCAAGAGTCAGACGCTTAACTGACTGAGCCACACAGGCGCCCCCAAATAGCATTTTCAACTGTGGAGGGGTATGTGAAAGAAAATCTGTGTGGCCAGTGGCCCCCTGAGATACGTGAAAGGGAGCCCCTTCCCCCAAAAAAGTGAACCTCTCATGACATTCAAACCCCAAGTCACCTTATCTCAAGAGGACTCGTTTAAAGTGGGTCAGTGCAGGGGCGCCTGGGTGGCGCAGTCGGTTAAGCGTCCGACTTCAGCTAGGTCATGATCTCGCAGTCCGGGAGTTCGAGCCCCGCGTCGGGCTCTGGGCTGATGGCTCGGAGCCTGGAGCCTGTTTCCGATTCTGTGTCTCCCTCTCTCTCTGCCCCTCCCCCGTTCATGCTCTGTCTCTCTCTGTCCCAAAAATAAATAAAAAACGTTGAAAAAAAAATTAAAAAAAAAAAAAGTGGGTCAGTGAAAATGGCACCTGCAACTACAGGTTAGCTTGCATTACCTGGCATACAGTGGTGCCCAATAAATGTTGGATGGATGGACGGATGGATGAATGAATGAATGGATGGGTGGATGGGTGGACGGGTGAATGAATTATTCAATGCCCCTGTCACAAGCCAACATTCATTAAAGCCTTTCCATAATGATCTAGGTGTGGAAGAACTGTTTATGGAAAGGCAAGAACCCAATTTGCAAACCCTCCTGTTGGCTTCACAATAATTCATGCTCATCTGCGTCTAATAAAATATGGAAGCAATTTTACGGGAACATTTTGTGCTTTAGCGATTCATTTAACTATTTCCTCTGGGGGGCAAGTCATATATTCTCATCCAGATGTGTGGGGAGTTCCGTGAATAAATCTGCAAATATCAAGATGGGATGCTGCCCCCTCCCCCACCCCTGGGAGCCTGAGTCTAACTAAATGGAAGCACAAACGTGGAGACCAACAGAAGCCATTCTGGCCTCCATTCCTCCTCACGGTGTCCAGGCCCAAAGCACCCCAGGCCCACCTGCTGCTGAAGTGACCGGAAACTGATAGAGGAGCTGAGTGCCCAGGTCACTTTCCTCAAAGAACTTTCCTCGGTCTACTGGCAGTGCCTTGGAGAGATGAGCCGCTCTCCACCCCATCAGCCCCCAACTGAGACACCGGGAAGGACACTCAGGTGCCACAGTGGCCACCATTGGCCCTTCTGACACCACGTACGGCCCCATCACCGCGTCCCCTGTGTGAGCTGCCCCCAAGCCCGTTGCAGATTTAAGAACTTATGAATACAAATGAGTAACACCTGCCTGGAGCCGCCTATCAATCCGTTCACATCCTGATTTTCTGGGTCACCAATTTTTTTAATTAAACTTTTAACTTTGAGATAATTGTAGATTCACATGCAGTTGTAAGAAATAATGTGGAGAGATCCCATGTCCCCTTTATTCCATTCTCCCCTCCTTCCTGCCTTATGGTAATATCTTGCAAAACTGTAGTGCAACACTGAGTTACCAATCTTCAAAAATGTAACATTGCATGCCTATTCTTAATGTACGATCAATCGATCAGAAGTGTATTTTCACCAGATCAAGACTCTTGACCCAACCCCTCACCCACTGCAAAACCTGCTTGATTTGACCACCCAATATTTGCCATTTTGGTAAAGGGCACTCCCAGCCCAGGAGAAAATTCGGAGTCTTCTCTCTCTCTTCTTTGCATTCCCCAACTCAAATCCAAACTAGCAGCCAGTCCTACGCGTATGGGCCAAAAAGTCCCAAATCCACCCACTCGTCACTCTCTCTACCACAAGGACCCTGCCATTAGCCACTGTCAATGCTCTTCAGCAGAACCAGCTACAGAGCTTGCAAGAGCCAGTGAAGAATGAACACCAGGAGCCCTTCGTTCAAAAATTATTAAGGATTTCAATACGGTGGCCACACAGTATTAAACCAAGTGCGAGGCCCCTCTCAGTGCAGAGCCCTGTGGACCACGCAGGTCCCACGGCCGTGAAGCCCATGCTGTCCTTCAAGCTGTGGCCACCGGGAGCACACTGTGGATGAAACAAAATCGGGTCTGTTAATTTGATGCAACAGGGTGAGCACACACTACCAGGAACCCTAGGCCATCTCAGTTAGGACCTACTACAGGATGGAGGTTTAGATTTGGTGTGGGGGTGGGGGCTCAAGAAAGCAAGGTTTGCTCTGGATTGGATGCTCTCAGGTGTCAGGGGTAATGCTGTGACTGGGCATCTTAATTATTCTTTTCTGGAAGATGACAGAGATGGAGCAAAGCTAGAGTTGATGTTGATTTAAAAAAAAAAAGAGGGGGCGCGCCTGGGTGCCTCAGTCGGTTAAGCGTCTGACTTCGGCTCAGGTCATGATCTTGCGGCTCGTGGGTTCGAGCCCCACATCGGGCTCTGTGCTGACAGCTCAGAGCCTGGAGCCTGCATCTGATTCTGTCTCCCTCTCTCTCTCTCTGCCCCTCCCCTACTCACACTGTGTCTCTCTCAAAAATAAATACGTGTTAAAAAAAATTATTTAAAAAAAAAAGAGTCACATTAGCCAGGACGGGGGATGTCTGGTTCATCTGGTGGTTTGGACCGTATCCACACGTTGTCTATGTTCAGACATGATTTTAGAGAGGTCTCGTTGCTCTCTTGATCCAACTGTGGCCTTGCCTGAGGTTGCTTAAACTACCAGCAGCCTCTGCAGCGAGTTGAATTGCTCCCCCCCCCCCCCCGCAAAAAGATATGTCCAAGTCCTAACCCCCGGTACCTGTGAATGCGACCTTATCCAGAGGCACTGTCTCTGCAGATATGATTAAGGATCTCAAGAGAGTTGCATTTCCGGTGGGCTCTACATCCGATGGCTGGTGTCCTAAGAAGAGAACACAGAGACACAGAGGGGACCGTGTGAAGACAGAGACTGAAGAGGAACGACCACAGCCAAGGAAGAGCTGGAGCCATCAGAACCTCAAAGAGGCAAGGAAGGATCCTCCTCTAGAACTTTGGAGGGACCTCGGCTCTACCAACATCTTTTTTTTTTTTTTTTAAGTTTATTTCTTTTGAGAGAGTAAGAGTGCATGTGTGAGCGGGGGAGGCACAGAGAGAGAGGAAAAGGGAGAATTCCCAGTAGACTCTGCACTGTCAGCGCAGCGGCCAACACAGGGCTTGAACCCACAAACCGTGACACGATGACCTGAGCTGAAATCAAGAGTCAGACACTCGGCCGACTGAGCCCCCCAGGCGCCCCTGTTGATTTCAGAGTCCTGGCCTCCAGACCTCTGAGAGAGAATGCATTTCTGTTTCAAGTCATCAAGTTTGTGGTAATCTGTTGCTGCAGGCCTGGACGATGAGTATAGTCTCTTATTGCAATTAGAAAAGACGTAGACCCCCCCGGGACCTGGGCCTGCCTCTCGCCATCCTCATGTGCACACTGCTTCTCCCGTGTCCCCCCACCCCCGGCTTCAGCCACGCCTTTCTCTTCATCCAACACACCGGCCCTTTGCACGTGCCGTCCCCACTGTCTGGAATCCACTGCTTTGCTTTTTCCCTGGCTGATCCTTGTCATTATTCAGATCTCCATGCAGGTACCCCTCCTCTGGAAGACCTTCCTTAGTGTCCTTGGTTAAAAGAACACAGTCCCCCACACACACCTGCCACTTGCCCTCCATCCTGTTGCGGGCTTACTTTTCCTCATGACCCTGCAGTTCTCTTATTTATTTGTTCACATGTTTATGCTTTGTCTCCACCCTCCACGTGAAGCCTCCATGGGGTCAGGAGCATCTCTGCATGCCCAGCACCCAGAACAGCTTATTTTTATTGAACAAATGTAGGAGGCGGGTGCCTGGGTGGCTCAGTCGGTTAAGCATCCGACTTCGGCTCAGGTCACGATCTCGTGGTCCATGAGTTCAAGCCCTGCGTCAGGCTCTGTGCTGACAGCTCAGAGCCTGGAGCCTGCTTGGGTTCTGTGTCTCCCTCTCTCTCTGCCCCTCCCTCGCTCATGCTCTGTCTCTCAAAAAGTGAATAAAAACATTTAAAAAAAAATTTTTTTTAAGTCATACAGCTCGTAAGTGATGGAGGCAGGATTGGAACCCAGATAGTCTGTCCCAGCCTCTGTGGGCTTAAACATCCTGCTTGACATACAGAAGACTTCAGGAAACGTCTAGGGGATGAGTGAATCTCCCTTCAAGAGTGGCCACGAGCCCTTTGCAGGTAACCTATCGGGTGGGAAGGAAAAGGGCCCAGGAAATTTCTCCCATACCTGTGTCTCAACTACCGAGCGGCCCCACTGTTCCTTCCGAGGCTCAGGGGACAAGTGAGGAAGAAACGAGTAGCATTGTGGAACGTTCTAGAACAACTCCAAGCCCCCCAAGTATGGGCTGCCTCCCAGGGTGTCCGGCGCCCCTCTGCCCCCAAGTCCCTCTCTCAGCCACCTCCCTCCCCACCTTGGCCTGAGCTCCTGAGGGAAGGGATCTAGTGTTAACAGTGGTCCCCATGCCAGGCACCTCGGTGCTCCCAGGAAACCTGATCTCTGTATTTTGCCTCCTGCCCAGCAAGCCCAGCAAGTCCCGGAACAGGCCGGCACCAGGCACCCACGGGGCTTCTGTGGCCTGGGCCTTAGCCCACCTTTCTCCAGCCACGGCTCTGGGGTGGGGGGAGGAGAAGGGTGCTGCCAGGAGGAGGAGGGAGGGGCCTTTCACTCGGTGCACTGGCACTTTCTGGCATGTTTCACATCATATCAGCATTCGTTCCATTGGTAAACAATCCCAGGAAGCAGAAATAAAGTGGGTGGATCAAGAAATAAATTTTTTAAAA